GAGAGAGAGAGAGAGAGAGAGAGAGAGAGAGAGAGAGAGAGAGAGAGAGAGAGCTTGTAAATTTTTATTTAAATAAAACCGATAAAAGAAAATAATACTAATTTTTTTATTGTCAATTAAAGATACAATCGTGCAACAATATACATTATAAAAGCATCCAAAAATTGCTCAAACAAGAAAGTAAATTTTGCACTATTATTAACTACAAGCACTAAAACATTTTTTACAGAACAAAATTTATTAGACCAGAGATACATAACATAACATAACATTATGTTAGAAATTAATACTCAAAATAATTAAAACCACATGATTATATAGTGCTTAAATAATATTCCTAAATACAATTTAATATAACACACAACTTGCTGTAATATATTCTCAAGCAATATTTATCTATCAAATTATTACAAATGTATGGATAATATGGATGCGTGCTTTATTCAAATAATTAATCTGAAAATGCAAAGTAACAAATTTTTAAGTAAGTGCATTTCTGTGTAGTATATGAGTGTAAGTGGTGACAAAACAGTAACAAGTACTATATAAATTCAACCATATACTCACCAATATCTTTTTCCTCGCTCCAGCACTGCTTTCGGAAAATTGTATAAAAGTACAAGTACAACGCAGCATGAAAGAGATGCTTCGCGGAAATAACTGCTATTATACACTAACGCTAATCCTGCAATCTGCACAAACATAAAATCGTTTATATCAAAGAATTTAGAAAAGAATACTACATAATGTAACTTACCTGCAAAAACCATTGTATTATTTGTTTAGTTCTTGTATTGGTAACAGGACCAAAACGATAGCAAATTACGAAACTAATTAGTGATGTTATAAGGATATACCACATGACCCATTCTCTATATTGTATCGCAATTAATTGAGCATTTTCCAGCAATGTTCGGGCAAGATAAACGCTCATTGTTCCGGCAAATATTAAGTACATAAACTTGCCCTTAATATGAAACAAAAATACATATATAAAATATTTTGTCAAGTATTATATCGATTGATATATCAACTATGTTAAAGTTGGTATGTTAAAGTAATTACCCGTGGCACTAATTTCCCTGCCATGTATATTAAGATTAGGATAGACGTAGTAACTCCAAACAAAATGCCACAAGCATAATAAAATACTGAATTTTGACTTAATGTTTTTGCGCACCAGAAAATCAGAACACCTATTGCCATTATTGTCAACATCCAGACATTGATACCTAGCATATTAACAATAATTGCATATTAATTATATATATCTTTAGTTATGCAGATATAAAAAATCTAATTTCAAATTCAGATACTTACGTGTTTCTGTCATACTTATTATGTATCCAGATTCGATAGAAGAATCTATGTAAATGCCTATGCACACATCTTCAAAAGGGTTAATCTTTAATCTCTTATGTTTTCCTGTATCAAACAAATTGAAACTCCAGGATCTCTGGTTTTCATCATGTTTTTGATGAATCTCATGAGGAACTTTGCCATCATACAAGATATAAGATTCTGAATTGGTATCCAGATGCATCTACAACATATAATGTTTTTATTATAAATATAATAAAATTGTACAAGTATGTGCAAATTAACTGAAAACTTTCTTACAGTCATGGTTCTCCAGATACGCGTCAGATATTTTGATGTAGCATTATGACAATATGTTTTTAGTCCAGGATTATTATTTTCTACACTGTCACCTGCATTCAAGAAGTGCACCTCTGGAACATATATCAAATCACACATATATCAAACCACATATATTACAATCACTTTTTTTTTAACAACACATTAAAGTGCTATGTAAAATGCCAACAGTATAGCTCCTGTCAAATCCATATTTCCTAAAAGCAAGGAAGTTGATTCTTTTTAATCTTTTTTATGCTTTTTATACACTGCTGTTGTTAATTTAAAAAATATATAAGTTATATATAGAAGTATATATTAGAAGAAATATATATATATATATATATAAGATTGCTTCTTAATATAGGTTAGGAAAACTTACTTGGTTCCTCGAGAATACGCCGCGCGTACACGCATTGAGAAAAGAAGAGAAATATGAATAACCATTTTATTAGTTTGGCCCCTCTGTCCATTTTTCTCCAATTATATGGATTTTTTTCTTATATATATTGTCATACCGCACGCCCCATATCGCGACACCGTAAAAATAGCGTCGAAAAATTTGAAATAATTCGATAAAAGCAAGATATATCGTGTTACATAATCGAGCTATCGCAAAATGGTATACGACGAGTCGATCAAACGATTATTGAAATCATTAATTACAAATCTTATATAAGTTTATTATTTCGTCTATTATATTTTGACACAATTAAAATATACGATAAAATGATCTAAAAACTTCTCAAATAAGGAATATAAAATTCATATTATTATTGACTATTGATACTGAAATATATTATATAGAATACTCGAACAAAATTTATTAGCTTAAATACATAACAAAGAAAAAAATACATAATAAAAAAATTAATAATGTTTGTAAGTATCAATCAATAATATATATATATATATATATATATATATATATATATATATATATATATATATATA